TTTTTTTTTTTTTTGCTTTTTCTTCTCTTTTAAAAAAAAAAAAAATTTTATTTTATTTATTTTAAAGTTTTTTTTTTAAAGCCCTCCCGACAATAAAAATACTTTTTCATTATTATTATTATTATTATTGTTATTGTTATTAATTAACAATTTTAAAAATATTAATAATTTGTCTTTCGATTATTATTTAAAAAATTTTTTTTCTTTTTCTACTCGTAACAAAATTATTATTTTTTTTCGATTATTACACACACATATATACACACTCAATTATCATAATGCAATGTATGGAGGATGAGGGGAGGGAGGGGGGAAAGTTGCAAAGAAACACTCTTTTCCCTTTACGAAAGTAAAAGTCAAAACAAAGCATGTTAAACAAAGAAAAGACGATAAGTAAAAAAAAAAAAAAAATATAAATAAATAAATACAAGGCCTCGATGAGATTAATTCATGATTATTCTTAGTTTTTAGTCAGACATTTGAAGAAGTGAATTTACAGTTAAATCTTTATTACCTCTATTCGCTTCATAAACCGATTTGATGACATCTTTTTCAATATTTGAAAACATGTCTTCTATCTGTGGGAAAAAATAAAAATAAAAAATCATTTTTAATGTCGACTTACCTACGATCATCAAATTTGTTATTCCACTGTTGAAAAACACTCGTTAAATTTTTTAATGGCAATTTAATTATTATTAAATGAATTTATAAGATTTAAAATTGATAAATTTTACTTGTTTTAAGTCTTCTGCTGAAAATTGTGGGGGTTGCTGCTGCTGAGGAGTTCCAACAACTTGAGATATCGGAGCTGATGTATAAGTGACTGGAACATGTCTCATATTATAATTAGGATTTGCGACATCCATTAATATCGATGTAGATACTGGCGAATAAATACTGTAATGACCTGGCTAAATAATTTAATTTTAAAAAATTTGTTAATGAAATCGAAGATATTTTTAATTCAATACAATCAATTTCAAATTTAATACTTACTGCAAAACTAATGACTAAATTAATCATTCCTTCGACTCCTTCACCTTGTTTACCGCTTAAAGGAAACCAATCCTCATGTGTTTCGCCGTTCATGACATTTTGAGGTATTGGAATATGAGTCCAAGCGATTAATTCATCCATTTTAAAAGAACATTCATCGAATATTTCAAGGTATATACTATTAACACCATGTGGAAGTAAACTGAAACCAAAATAATTATCATTTTTTTTCCCCCACCTCTCATTGTTAAGAATGAATTATGTTGAAAAAAATATGTAATAACCATTGAACAATTCTATTCCATTTTGGATTTTTTCCACCACTCGGATCAGTATGAGTTTCGTAGACGCTATGACCGACTCTCAATCTGACATAGGGATCCATTCTTGTCATTCCGTAATTTTTAACTAATTTAGCTTGAGCAACTGTTATGCTTAATTTTCCACTTAAATTATACGAATATGGAGTTTCGACTAATTGTTGTTGCAATGCTAATGCAGTTTGAGCATCTGCAGCTTCCTGTTGTTCTTGTGCAGATAAAGGCCTATTATTAGTCACTCTGAGAAAATCCGGTGGTAATTTTCCCACGAATACCTATTAACAAAAAAAAAAACATAATAATAAATTATTAAAATTTTTCTACACATAAATAAAAAAAAAAATTAAAAACTACAAAAAATTATTTATTTATTTATTTATTTTTACGTAATTTATTGATAATAAATACAAAATCGTTGCGACAATTAATGATCGTTATCAAATCAAAAAAAATATTACGACACAATTTATAAAAAGATTTATTAATAACATATTTTGTACATAAACTAATATTATTGCTTAATATGTTAAAATAAATAAATACTAACGCGTTTTCTACGTTCTTGATTGCTATCCATCGCTGACGCCATTTTATTATTAACTGAATTATTAACGTTTTAAAAAAAAAAAACAAATTTATATTATATAAAAAAAGAAAAGGAAAAATTTATTTTTTTAATTATTATTATTATTAGTGTTTACCAATGTCGTTAGCAGACGAGTTTTATCATAGAGTTTAACAAAAATAATAATAATAATTTTACAACATTTAATATTTTACATGTGTTATAATCCTTTTTTATTTAATTCATTTTAATCGTATAAATAAAATCAAATTTGTTTTTTTTTCCCCGTCATGCATTTTTCTAAATTAAAAAACGTTTTTGACGATTAAATGATGACGATTCTATGGCATTATCATTATTATTATCATTAAAATTTCATAAGAGTTAAATAATTGACGTCTATGGTTTTGTCAGACGATTTTGTCTTGTGGCACTTCTTCTTGACGAAGTAGTTTAGTAGCATATATTAAATTACACCGATATAAATTACAATTATAATAAAACGCCGACCAATGATTCGGACAAATTCATTTAATTTTTATCATTGATTATTTAAATAGTGTGTAATTAACGACGCGAATCATTTATTTCTTTCTTTTTTTTTTTTTTAATTTTTTTTCCGTTGAATTTTTACGTGGATAATAATAAAAAAAAGTTTCTCCCCCTTTTTCCTTTTTTTCTCTCGTGTGTGTGTGTGTTTGTCTTATATCAATAATTTTAAATAATGATGATTATGTTAGTATCAAACTTTAATTTGAATTTTTTATTAAATTTATTTTTACATAATATTTATGTTTTACTACAAAGTGAATTTCAACAACAACATCAACAACAGCAACAATAGAAATAATAAAATGCCATGAAAATATTTTTCCTTTTTTTCTGACATTATTTCTAATATTTATTTACAATTTTTTCCTTTTTTTTTTTTTTTTTTGATTGATTTTTTTTTTTTACAACATCATCATCCTTATTATTTTAATTATCTGATTATATATCTGTGAGTGTGTGTGTGTGTCTGTGTATACAGTGTCACAGTCAATCAATTTCAATTAAATAAATATTTTTCATTATTGGAATTATTAAATTTTTTTTTTTTTTTCCTGGTGAGTTTTTCTTTCTTTTTTTTTTTTTCCAATTTTAATTGATTAAACTTAATAATGGGATATCATATTTAATTGTAAACATAATTTCAATTATTATTATTATTAGCTTTTGTAAATCGATTGACAATCACAGGTTGAAATGAAAAATTTTTTTTCCCAAATTTCTCTCTCTCGTAAATTTTAAAGCGTTTGGGTTTTTTTTTTGTCTTTCAAATTATTTTAATCCTTTCAAGATGTCATCATTACCAGTTGCTTTTTTAAAATATATTGCACAATTATTATTATGTGTATATTTTGTTTATTGTGGAGTGGTTGCTGCTGAAAAAGAACCTTCCGAATTAGAACCAGATATGATAATGGAAGAAAGTAAAAATATAGTATGTAAAATATTTCCTATGTTAAAAGTGTCCTGTTTTTTTTTTGCAATTTTCAAAATATTATCATTATGTTTATCAGGTTCCCATTGATGGTAATGATTCGTCGACAAAAAAAGTCGGTTTTTTCCCAGCATTTGTCGCTTCATTTTCCGTAATTATTGTCTCAGAATTGGGTGACAAAACTTTTTTTATTGCTGCCATAATGGCTATGAGATATCCTCGTCTCACAGTTTTCGGAGGAGCCATAACAGCTTTAATATTAATGACAATCCTTTCAGGTTAGTCATTATCAGTTGATTCGATTAACATTTTATTTATCCATTATTATTATTATTATTATTATATTTAAAATTGATTGTTTGTTTCAGTTGGTTTTGGATGGTTTGCAACATATATTCCAAGATCTTATACATATTATGTTTCGACAGCTTTATTCGCAATATTCGGTTTAAAAATGTTAAGGGATGGATATTACATGTCACCGAATGAAGGTAAAGAAGAATATGATGAAGTGCAATCGGATATTAGAAAAAGAGAAGATGAAGTGAGTAAACAAACAAACAAACAAACAAACAAACAAATCTTTTTTTTTTCCTTCTACAATTAATAAATGTTATCAATATGAATAAAAAAAAAATTTATTTGTTTTATATAACCATTGATATTCCAGTTAGAAAAAAATAAAATGCTATCAACAGATTTGGAAAGTGGAGAAACAATAAGATCGAACAATAGATGCAAAATATTAAATTACATTCCGGAAGTATTTCTACAATCTTTTTCATTGACATTTTTTGCCGAATGGGGTGATAGATCACAATTTACAACAATATTACTCGCTGCCAGAGAGGTTTGTACAATCATTCATTCTCTCATTCTCAATCAATCAATCAATCAATCAATCATTCTCTATGTGTTTTTTTTGTAGGATGTTTTCGGTGTGAGTTTGGGTGGAGTCGTTGGGCATTCCATGTGCACAGGTTTAGCTGTTATAGGAGGTAGAATGATTGCTCAAAAAATTAGCGTTAGAACCGGTGAGTTTTCTTTTTTTCATTTACTACTACTCAATTTACACTTCTAATACCCTGATACAATCGCCATGTTTAATCGAAATGACAATATGGGTTCAGTCAAAAGATATGCTAACGTAAATAATCTCGTTATCATTTTTTCTTTTTTTTTTTTTTTAACTACTTCCACGTCATTGTGTAAAATTTAAAAAGCTTGAAAAAAAAAAAAAAAAAAAAAGAAAAGTTAATTAACCTTAACGATCGGCTACCAAATACAAGATATAAACTAATACGATAACCGTGACGTCATAATAAATAATAATAATGATATTGTTAGCATTAAATTAATTGATTGATTA